GCTTTATATAATAATATAATATACATGTTGTACAACTACAGTATTATTTATTATGACGTGCGCGTATAATATTATATTATGTGCAGTATACATAATATATTATTATAMTATCTTATAATATGTATAATACAGAATATACGACGGTCGAGGGAAACGCTATGGTGTTATCGTAGGTCGTAACTGATATGTGGTTCCGATAGTGGAAAACGGTTTCTACGCGAGTTACAAATTTACGGTTTCATATAATATATTATATGCAGATATAATATTCAACATTTTAATTCATTCATATATATATATATATGCATATAGTTTTGCATACGCGCGTGTGTAGTGTAGATATTAAATATAAACAGCGGGGTAATAAATATATTATAAATATTGACAAATATAATCAAATATAATTAATATAATATAGGTATATTAACTTAACACGTAACCTAATCTAACTTACACAGTTAAATTTCATCACGTTTGACAGTAATTTTTAGTTAGCCACGGCCCACGGCGCCACAAACGGTAATATCAACAACTAGCGGCTATTAATTCAATACATCAACCACTAATCAGTACCTAATGAATGAYTAAAATTTTACTGTAGGTAATATGTTTATTATGACATATTTAAYTTTCAGAGGAGAAAAGTTTCAAAAAGTTTATAATACTTTAGCTCTTAGCTTGAGTTTACGTAAGTAGACTCAAGTTTTTACTTTTAGGTGGGCTTATAGACCGAGCAATAATTTTTTTAACATATTGGCCTGCTGGGGATCGTTATAAGTTTATAACATATTCAGATATTCTATCGTTCATAACCATAGTTTAAGATTTGTAATTTTTGTATTGTTAAATAATCGAACAAGGCTAAATTATAATATATTTTTTTAATACCTATAAAAAATTAAAAATTAATCGTTTATCTGAAAGCTGATTTGGACGGGGTCACAGGGTACATGTACATGCTTCATATAAATTATTTAATTATATCTTATGTTCATACACATATATATACATAATATTACAAATGTAGAATTTAAAAAAAAATTGACACGGGCGAGAGTCAAACAGTGTCTAGTTAATTACATTAAAAAAATGTTTTATACCCAGACAATTGTATTATGTACAAAATGACTGACGTATCGTTCATCTGTAGTTATAGAAATAATTATATATAACTACTATATAAGTATATTATAAACGTGATTTCAAAAGATTTTTTTCGTGATTCTTTGCTTAGACTTACAACCGACAATATCGATAGTACCTACCCATATTATAATATAATATGTGTCRGATAACATGCAATTTGCGTACCACACTTTTCCATTACTATCTATTATAGTTATTTTTATGATGTATTTGCGTATTACACGGCCATATAATTAATATTATATTAAATTATCATGTTATTATTTRTATTCAAAAATGCACCCATTTATTATCTAATAGTTATACAACTATTGACCCTTTAGACGGATTTTTTAACGACTTGTAATTATTTTATTTTCAACTGTTGTCATTTTGTTTTTTTTGTTTTTTTAGAAATGCATCAATCGCTGGGATGCAATGCGAAAAATGGCAGGTGGAGATCGGTCAATCCACACCGTGGACAAACCGATAACTTGTGCCAATCGTCTTAGAAAACGACAGCGACGAGTGACGACGACACAGCCGTGACGATAATATAGAGAACAGTTCTCAGATATTTAGAGAAAAAAGTATATTTACATATTAATCAAAGTCGACAAAACTTTATTGTAAACGCGACATGGAGACCGTCACCGTTACCGAAGAAGARCTGACCACTATGAAGTACGTCAACGCGACAACCGAGTTTACGGTCGAGGAGATAAACTCATTTTTTTTTTACGAAGTGAGTTGGTGCCGATCAAAATCATCTATTTTATTTAAAATCAAATACAAATATATATTATATATATATATACACAGGGTGTAAAAGAACGACCTGACAAAAACAAAAAAAAAAATGTTAATTCATCGTATGATAAAAATTGTTGATATTATTTGATAAGTAAATAATTTTTAGAAATATACTCATGTCAGAAAATTATCAAAAATCATTATTTTTAAAAAAATTATTACGTTCCAAATAGATTTAACCAAAAAAATATTGAATTTCAAAAAAATTCTAAGAAATAAACTTCTTGACTTACACAAATCTTTTTACCATTACAATTGTTTTTAGAATCAGATTCGCAATTATTAGGCTATTTTAAATTTATGCAAACGATTTTTTACAAAATTAAATTTTTTTTTATTTTCAATACTAAAAAATATAATCATAAAAAAATGTATTGACCATGTAGCGATGGGTGACTTAATGAACAAAAAAATAAAAAATATCAATTTGAACAAAAGTTAATCCAAAAGTCAGTTCTATCTGTTACACCTAGTACCTATATTTATTTGTATTTATTTTATTTTTTTATTTATAATAATTAAACGGACAATACATATATAGATTATTACGTTAGGTATTACGCGGGTATCACATTATATTATTTTAGCATTGAGTATATATATATATATAT